AAGGATAAATAATACAACACATTTGCAAACCTAAGGCAGTGTTCCAAATCTTTGCAAAGCGAAGAAAAACATTATTGCAATATTAACTTATGAACAGTTTCAAGCAAGAAAAATATGCATTGAGCAATAACCACAACCTGATATCAGACACAGACAGATAATTGCACAAAGCAAATGTGAAAGGAAATGCCTTGTTATCAGTGTTTCGCACACGAGGGATCAAGGTGAGCTTGCCAGCAGTCAAGGAAACTCGTAAGCGCAATTCAAATCTGCAAACATCACAACAAAAACAAAATCTCAGTTAGAATATCCAATTAAGAAATAATTAGCCGATCAGGGGATAGCCTCCTCACCTATGCGGCCAAGTTTTCAGATCCTCCTCTGTGGATTTAAGCATAATATCAACAGTTGCTTGATTGGTCACAGGGGGCAAAGGCGAAGGCGAGCTGTCTAATGACCACATTCTACTTCTAGCAAACCCAGGTTGCTCCAGTGAACCAAAACTGGAAAACTAAAATGTGCATTTGAATACACATGAGAGAATATACAAAAAATATAAGCTATTAATGTTTTGGAAACTAATTCAGTCAGCTATCAACCTGTGGGAAGCAAATGGCTAGTCCACCCCTGATACCTTTTCCTGGCTTCCATAAAGCCTGATGAAAAACATGACTTGTACACATTATTTTACACACGAAACATCATCATACGAGACATTACAAAATACAAAAATTTAAATTACTCATTTCCAACTGCATTGACACAGTTCGTTCGATAAAAATCAATGCATGATAAATGGTATATTAACTTCACCTTATTGGTCATGAAGAGCATCTCTTCTCTTCTTTCATTCTTCCATGATATCACCTGCCCACCATGCAAAAGCACCTGGAACAACAAACGATAACAATCTTCACCGCAATCCAACATGTGAAAAACCTCATAGACTAACACGAATATCACACACACAAACTGAGATCAAAATGCACAACAAACCTCAACTGTAGAGCCAGTAGGCTCGGACAATATAACCCGGGCCGATCCATCACCATCCTGAATAACATTAACCGGCATCGTGCTTATCTCGTCGGAAAAACTCAGCGATCGGTCTACTTCTCACACCCCAAACCTAGCTGCAGCATAAAAATGGCTCAACAAACAGAAACCAGAGAAATCAAAATCCGGCAAACAGGAGTAATGAAGGCGCCACGAAATCTGACACATGAAACACCAAATTAATCACAAAAAAAAATGGCTGAACGATCGATCATCAAAGAGATGAAACGAACCAGACGCTTGGCGCAAAAGAGGTTTGATCATGAATTATTCTATTCTATCAATGTCATCACATATCAATGATGTCACATATGATGGGACGGATTCTGCGACAGAGATTTTTCATTTTTCAGTTATTTTCATTATTTTAATTTATTTTTTTCTCTCTTTTATGTTGTGTGAATTGGGTTGAGCTTCACGGCCCGGCAAGCGCAAACTGAACTTGGGCCAGTGGTCTATCGGAACAGGTCCAGTCCGTCTTTTTATATAATATTGGCCTGGTTTGTTTTTACTCGGCCCACCCAACAGAAACCCCTTAACATAAAACACCTTGTTTTCTTTTTCATAGCTCGAGCATTGTCAGATCATCCATCTCGAGGCTCTCTTTTTTGAAGTCATATCGACCTCTTTGCTTGTCGACTCGAGCTGAGCTTCGAACTATTATTGAGAACCTTACTTCGTTATTACGTTGATAAGTTGACCATATTATTTAGTTCTCTTACTGTAGACGAGCTGAACATCTAGTAGTCGTCTAAGAGCAAAGATGAGTAGTTATATAATTAGTTATAGGCCTAATTCAGGCACTATGTATGTGGTGTTGCACAATTTGCACTGTTATTTGAATATTTATCAGCCTAATGATTTAGACAACGATAATCTTTTAACATATGGACATAATTTATATTCAGATGTCATAAATCAATATAAAAAAACATAAAACAATAACATGAATTCTATTGCTCAAACATAAATCACAGAATTTGCACTGCATTTTATACTACTAACCAAACATCTGCCCCCAGCTTTGGCTGAAATCCAATGGATATGGAAACAGCCATGGCAGAAGCCCTTCTATTCGGCAAACAAGAAGCTCGGAATTTCGCCTCTCGGGAAATTCACAAGCTTAACCACGACGAAAGACAAAGGTGGTACTGCTGAATCATACAAAATACTACTAATGAAATTCATTCATCAAAAAGAAAAGGAAAAGAAAGATCGATAATTCGAACTTTGCAGGAACAAAATCATCATGGCGAAAAACACTGAAGGTAATTTTTGGATCTAAGCATAATCACAACAATCATCAAAAAACACTTATTTGTATCTTCATTCTTCTCTGTATTATGATCTATGCCAATTTCATCTCCCATCTCCTTGCATGAGAACAAGAAGAAACACGAAACCAGCCAAAAATAACCGAATCAACGGCAACAATTTACACTGGCCCTCAACAAATGGAAATAAGCATCCTAGAAAAAATCTATTTCGTAGTAGTTACCGGACTGCTTCACGTCAACTCCGCCTCCCTTCCCCACCGTGGGCCCAGGCGTAGGCCCACCCCCCTCCTGGCCCATCACGAACGGCAATGGCACCTCCAGAGGGTTCGCGCATCGTATCAAAGCCCAATTCACACTCTGAAAAAACGGGTGCTGCTTGATCTCGGTTGCCCCACGTCTATACGCCAGCCTGTTCTGCGGCTCCTTAACGAGCAGCCCCCGAATAAGATCCCGGGCAGCAAAACTCACCGTGGGAGCCTCCGGGAACTTCAGCGGCTGCCCGACCACATTGAAAAGGGTCGCCCGGTTGCCCGACCCTTTGAACGGGGTCCTCCCGAACAGCAGTTCGTACAAGAAAATTCCCAAAGTCCACCAGTCAACTGCACTTCCATGGCCTTCTCCTTTGATGATCTCGGGCGCCAAATACTCGTGGGTCCCTACAAATGACATGGACCGGGCATTTGTGGGCTCAGCTATGAGTTCGGGGTCAGTAACTTTTCTGGCCTTACGGTCCCTTTTGGGCATGCCCAGAAAACGCGGGCCGAAGCAGGTGGGTTCCAGGCAGGCTGTGGGCTGCATGCAATACCCGGAGGAGGAGCTTTTGGACTCGAATTTGACAAGTGTTGGGCTCACGGAGCATCTAAGGGAAAGGTCGAAATCCGAGAGCATGATGTGGCCATCTTCCCGGACAAGGACATTTTCGGGTTTGAGGTCTCGGTAGATTATTCCGAGCATGTGGAGGTACTCGAGAGCTAGGAGGACTTCAGCCAGGTAAAATCTGTGAAATATAAGGGTTGAAATGAAATTGTTGGAGTGGATGAGACTTTTTTGCAGTTCAAATTTTAAGATATGTAAGATTATGAAATTGTATATGTTCATACAATTGCTTCATAACTCTCTCTCTCTCTCTCTCTCCCTCTCTCTCTCTCTCTCTCTCCCTTCAAGAGTCTTGTGATGGGTTAAATCGAGAGAAAGAACGGCAAAGACATGAAAATGCACACACGTGTAAAAACACAAACTAACAGCATGCACTCACTTATTCATTAAGAAGTCTGAAAATCATGTCATGAGATTAAGAAACTATACTAGGAGATTGCATCTTTTAAGTGTAAAGTTTTTCAAATAGTATCTATCAGTAACAGTAGTTGAGCATTAGAATCTTGCTATACTATTCCAAATTTATGAAGTGGTAATTGATATAAAACCATGCAACATTTAAACCAATTGATTTTAACTTGAACAAATCAAACACACCGTTGTACATCTCTGTTTTATCTCGCTTCTCCAAAGCTCTTTGCACCAACCAGGAAATATATTAACCTCAATAGCCAACCAATCCATATATTTCACAACAAATTCCGACATCATAAATTACTTGACATGAAGGATATATAACATAAACACACACACACACACACACATAGCAAATTTAACCAAAATTGTACCTTGCTGCATGCTCGGGGAAAAACTTCCCGGGCTGTTTCTGCCTAACCGTGTGCAAATCACCCCCGGAGCAAAACTCCATCACAAGAAAAGAAAATCTTTCGGTCTCGAAGTGCGTGTACAAAGTCGGCAGAAAAGGGTGATCAAGAGACTGCAAAATCTCCCTCTCTGTCTGAGCCCGAAGGACCTTTTTCCGGCCAGCAAGCGCCTCTTTATCCATCACTTTCACGGCAAACAAAATCCCAGTCCCGATCAGCTCCGCCAAATGAACACTCCCAATGTCCCCACAACCGAGCCTCTTAAAAATCCTGAAATTACTCAGCTCGAGGGCCCCACCACGAGACCCAACGGCATGGATTGCCTCCCACCTCACATCGTTCGCCTTGTGAGGTGGCTTGTAATAAAGGGCACTGCTAAAGCTACTCGAGCTGCTCTCGTCACTAATGTCACTGCTACTGGTTTTTCTGCTCTCGACTAATTCGAACGAGTTGTTAATTTCATTTTCACCACTCTCGATGGATTTTCCAAGGCTGCTGCTCACACACTCGCTCGCCTCGGTGTTTGTAAAGCTCTGTTTAGCCTCGGTGTAATTTGTTGTCGAGTAGAAACTACCCTGCGGACTTGGGCAGTAGCTCTGTTTAGACGAGGTGACTTCGTTTTTTAATTGCTTTGTAAAAGATACAAAGGAATTACGCTCTGCATTACCAACGGTACTAAGAGTCATCTTTAGAGAACCAACTCCCTCAACGAGCGAATCTAAAGCACCTAACGGCATGGCTACTGCAAAATATAGTCACCAAATCGCAAAATCAATTGAAAGAAAGGATGGACTAAAACGATTCAACCCAGAGAGAGCTTTACTCTTTAGCATCAAAGATCAAACAGTTCTCTTATACTAACAGCAAGGGTTTGTGCATTGTGGAGAAAGAAAATCATAGACCAAATTCAAGAATACACCTTTACCTAGAGAACCCCTCCGAAATCTAAAAATGGTGAGCAAAAACCGAATTTGCCTAATTAAACATCAAACCCCATTAATCCAGAAATGCAAAATTACCCAAGAAATCCTGGAACAAAGACAAATAGGTTCTTCTTGATCATAAATTGATTAAGTTCGTGTATCGCATTACCTCATAAACTAAAAACAAACGAAAACGAAAAACTCCCACAGCAAAAATTAGGATAAAGTAAGGAAAATCAGTTCTTGATTTCACCTGATCAGAGAATGCAAGTGATTGAACAATCTTTCATCACTCTTGAGAACGTAAACGAACTTTGTAATACACAACAGCTTTACAATTCAATTTTTTTTTTCTTTTTTTTTTCTTTCTGGGATCAGATCGGCAAAAGAAACAGATTTTCGATAGATAGATGAATTACAGCAACAGCCCAAGTGAACCCAAGGAAAAAGGAAACGGAAACAAACAATAGTAAGCCTACAACAATAATAATAAACCCGGCACAAATTTTCTTTCTTCTCTTTTTTCTGTAATGGGTTCAAATGGCACAGGGAGAAAATAGAAAAATAAGAAGGAAAAAACAGCAAAAGTAGCCTGAAAACTAATAAAACTCAGTTCACAAACCATTCGGTCAGGATTTGTTAACCTTCGAAATAATTAATCTAACGGTTACAAACCCCAACGAAAAGGGATTTTAGCATCTCCCAATAAAATATAGTACTACCTCCTATTTTTAATATATGTCGTTTTGAGAAGTTGCACACTAATTAAGAATATTTTTTTGTCATTTAATAAAAATAGAGATAAATGTTTTGAGAAAAAGTGAAGAGTGAATATGAAAAGATGTAATCTATTTATTAGCTAAATGAGGGTAATAATGAAAAAATATGTACAAGAAATCTAAAACGACATTTATTTAACAAATAGTTGATAAAGCTATAATAATATTTAAAAAAATCTTTTTTTGTCGTACTCGTTATTTTCTTTTAATTATTATGCTTTATAGTCTATTCTTTAATGTTATTCATGGAGTATATATTAAACACTAGAAAGTGAGACCACATACGCACAATGCATTTTTCTAAAGTATAAAATGTTTTTTTTTTTTTTTT